GCAAGAGATGCAGAAGAGGAAGAAGGTGTGATAATAAGAGTAATACTTTCACGGCTCATTGACACTGCTATCTCTGCCTTCAACCTGGCTTTCTTAATGATCACAGAGACTGCAGCTGCATCATGAAGATATTTATTATTCACTAAAGAACATCAGAATAAGTTCTTTATTGTTCTTCAAGAATGATACTCTCATACACTCACTGTTACAATTGAAGAGAAGAGAAAGAAAAATATTTCATAAGAAAGAGAATCTTTTTGAAAAATCCTGTTACTACTGTTAACTTTGCTTCTAAAATACATCACTTTTACAGAGAATTTTATATATAAAACAGAATATATTAAAAGATCTGTAAGTCACTTATTAACTATGTTTTTCATATTTCAAATTGATATATAAGAAACTCACTTATTATATATTTAATTTAAATGAAGATGAGAAAAGAAAGATCTACACAGTCAGCAGAAGAACTCATCTATTTCTTTATACAGTATATACACTGTCAATTGATTGATAACTGTTGCTATATAATAAAGATAATTTCTAATTCAGTAATCTTAAGAGTATAGAGACTATATTCTTAAAGAGAAGAATATTATCATATCTCTAACTATGTTAAGACTCTGTTATAATTTCACACAGTCTATCACTTTTATATGAATAATTTCATTCTGTCTGAATCAGTTTTCAATCACTTTATAATATTATTTAAATATATTATAGAAAGATCTGATTAATGAATATAAGAATCTCACTTCTATACAAGATTAGCAGATTACTCTTTCTTAACAATGAGATGCTGCTGAGATATTACTCTGACTATTCTTACTTATAAAATGAGAGAAGAGTATCTGCTCATTATCTATATAGAATAGCTAGATACTGACTTCTTATAAAAGAAGTCAGTAATTCATTTTTCTTCTACTAGAATATATATAAGAGTTACTGCATATCTTATACAATCTTCTTAGTATACTAAGTATCATATCTGTGATATTCTCATAATAATTCTGTAGTCTATGAGCTTGCTATTTAAGCAAGATGGTTAAGCTTACTTATACAGCTTCTTAAACAACTATCTCTATGTAACATCACTGAATAGTTATCACTTCAGTTTCATCACATTATATCTATGCATTTTATATATAAATTAGTTAATATATACTTTATCATATATCATTAGAATACATCTGTCCTGATATTCACTGATAAAAGTTATTATATTATCTATCTTATATTTCATTATAGTTATAGTTGCAGTAGAATTGTTGATTTCACTGTATTAGAAAATCTTCTTATTTATCTTGAATTCTGTAGATATATTTCTGACAGTGTATTAAACACTTATTTCTAGTTAATAGAAATGATTTTATATTCAAAATAGATGTAATTCAATTAATGATAGTCTGTATAAAAAGTATTAAGATATGCATGAAATTTATCAGATATGCTGATTACACTTAGAAATGAAATATAAAAGTATTTGCATTCATTACATGATAATCTGCAAAGATGAATTAATAATATATATAAAGACTTATATTTTTCTTTTTCTTCTTTTCTTCTTTCTTCTTCTTGTAATAATAATACACTGTAAAGATTATTCTCAGCTCACTCAGCTCACTCTGTTCTTCTTTATTCTTCAGCTCAGTGAGTATTCTGTCAGTTGTAATAGAAAGCTTTTAATCAGAAAAGTTCTAATCAAGATATTTTATCTATGTAGTATATCAAGAATATCAGTAATTCATTATATCAGTATCAATCATAGTAACAATAATAATAACAGCAGTATTAAACTAATAAGCAATATCTTCAAGTGTACTCATATCATCACTGTAAAGACTTAAGAGAAGAAAGTAAGCAGCTATTTAAATACTCTGACAAAGCAGCTCAGTAAATGAATAATATATGAGTACTGTATTAAATATATTTTTTCTCATTATTTGAATACTGCTTATAATAGAATAAAGAGAAGCTCAAATTCTTGTATAAATTATAATTATGAGAAAAAGAGATACATGATTATCTCTGAAGAATTAAAAGAATAAGTTAATAATCTGATTTAAATTCATAACTTTTATCTTTCTATATTAAATAATTTTAAGAAAATAATAAAGAGAGCTATATTAAAATCAGTGAAGAATCTTTTAAAATAGATTAAGAAAGTTAAAACTTACTGACAGAAAGTGAAAGCTTAATATATAAAGAGTATTACTATTATTCTAAAAGCTCTGAATATTATTATCAATACTGTTAAAAAAGTTAAAATTAAGATTAAGAAGATTAAGTTGAATATTGAAAGAGTGAAATTAGAAATTAAAAAGAAAAAAGTTATTACAGAAAAGAAGAAAATCATGATTAAAAAGATAAAACTTAATATTAAAACTATCAAGCTTAAAGTATATTACAAGCTTTTGAGAATAATAGTCAGTTATATTAAAGAATAGAAATCAGTGATGAAGAATCTTATAAATTTAATAAATAATATTAATACTGAAGCTAGCTGTATTATCATTAAAATGTATAAAATAATAAAGTATATTCAGAGACTTATAGATTATCTTGATAAGAATTCAGTTATAGTCAGTAATAGTAGCAGCAGTAATAAGAAATTTAATAATAATAATAATTTTCTTCTTATCTTTCTCACTGATATCTCTATCACTAATGTTAATTCTCTCTCTTCTTTCTTCTCTGATCTTCTAACTTCAGTTGATTCTCTAGCTATAAGCAGCACTGAAACTCTCAACATTCTCAGTGAAAAAGTAAGTTAGAATCAGTAAAATGATTCTCAGATTTATATAGAAGTTGATAATAATATAGATAAATAAATACACAGCTTCTAATTCTTTTAAAACTCTCTATCTTAAATAGTGAATAATTATTAACACTGACTCTTTATAAACTTTAATATTAATTCACAAGTTCTCTGAAATAAATGTTGATATAAATATGACAGGAAATCATGATAATGATATAGAGATGATTCAGAGAATCTGAGAGAAATTACAGAAGAATATAACTAGACTGACCGTGTGACCGTGTCTGAGACCAGAATCAGATTTTTTGATAGTTTCATTACCAATTCAACTGATCTCATTACACAGTTTTAACATTATATAGTGATCTCATACTGTCTCAGTGAGACTTACTGTCTACTCTTATCATATTTTTCAAATGAGATCATGATTTCTACTTCTCAATTTAAATTATTTTTATTGCTTTAAATGACTTTAAATTTCATTTGAGTGTTATCAAAAAGTGTTACTTTTTAAAAAATTAAAAATAGTCTAAAAAAAACCTTAAAATGTCTAAAAATAGTAACTTTATGCCAAGAATAGAACTAAATGAGACTAAATGAAATCACTTTCTCATTTTTTTCAAGTCATGATTTCATTTTAAGATCTGATATATAGTCACTTTACATGTTTTTTTGATAGCCAGTCCCAGCGGGATTCACGCCAAGAAATGTATGAGACCAGACCAAATGGGACCAAATGTGAAATTCATGGTCCCGGCGGCCAGTCTAAATATAACAGACTTTCAATAGAGAATGATTTCAGTGAATGAGACATTTTTTAGAATTAGTGATTATATAGATAGGAATCAGTGACATTGTCAATACAATGATGATTTTGTTCTGTTCATAACTCATTTACAGTGATTCCATGGCTAATCCACCATTATATTATATTTTACAGTTCGGCGACGGTGTCGGCGACTGGCATGGCGGAACAACCATAACCCGGTCGTATAATAAGCCTACGTTTTTCCGGTATGGAGGGCATGGGGCATGGTCAGGTGACTCACACAAGCCTCACCACCCACTCACCAAGCCTCTAGCTTACTGCGTAGATAGCTTCTTCTTCTTCTTCAAGATTCAGTTTCAATATGATCTAGTATACTGCTGCTATCCACCCTGGTAGAGCTAGTCTTCGTCCCGTAACAACATGCTCTCCTACCATACGCGCTAAAACGGTCGTCTGGTCTGTTATACAGGGGCCATCATCTTAGTCGACTACATCAGAGGTAGCTAGGAGATATCACGCTTCAAGATATATCTACTAATTGACTACGGTTCTGATATACGTATGAAGGTATTTTACTCTGCTAGGACATACTTTTCAATTTTCGATGGTATACCTAGGTAAAATTAACTTAAAAATATACAAAACTTCAACGCCATCCAAGAACACCCCCATCCAGCATCCTCCCAAGTATTCCCGACTGTTTCTAACGACCGACGTGCGGAATACTCTCCTATGATTAAACCGTGTCTCCTGGTCATCGTGCGCAGTAACAGAGAGATGGAGTAGAAATTGTAGAGTAGAAGTTTTTTTTATTTATTTCTATTAACAGCTCATTAGTAGGGGGTTCGACGCAAACATCCCATAAACCCAACGAATTGGTGGGGTGGGGTTGGGGGGGTTGGGTAACGGCATTCAATCCCCTATCCCTTTCCAAGGGTCGAAGAATGATGTTAACAGCCCGAAAGTCTTTAAGACATACATTTGCCACAGGTCGTGCAGCCGCAGGTACCGGATGACGAACAAGAGCAGGTCTTGGGGCCCTCACAGGGGCATTTGTCATCTCCGCATCCGCAGCCCATTTTGGATATTTACAAAGAGGGGGGTTTAGGGGATTCGTTGGTGAATTCGTTAGTGATTTGTGTGGTTGATTCTGGCTTCGTGGGTTGTTAGTATTTGGCGAGTATGGTGGGGAGGGATGAGAGTGCCAGTCAAAACAATACCTTGTTTCTTGTTTGGAGGATAACAAAAGATAAAGATGGGTAAGAATAGTAGAAGGATAGGAGGAAAGGGAAAAAAAAATAGCGTAGTAGAGGTTTATATAGAGGAGGAAAATACACTTTTGGATGTAGTCATTCATACGTCACTATTTGTCAACGGGACGGAGAGCGTTAGGTTTGCCTCGACAGGTCGAATGGAGCTTTAATTCTCAGCTGTTAAACTTTAGAGAGAACTTAGATAAAAAATAAAAAATTACAAAATACATAACATATTAAATTAAATTAAAAAAAAAAAGACGAGAATCAATCAATATGCTAGCGGAATGCTTCCAGAAGCCGCTGTGCCCCTTGATAGTCGTTGGGTGAGAAAATTGGCAAAACAATGATAATATACAATCTCTAGCGGAAGCAAAGGCAACGTCGGGGAAATGGGAAGTACAGAAAAGGTAACCGCAGAAACATAAATAACACCTATCTAGAACCTTGGAAATATCCGACTTAGAATCTGATGCCTCCCGGTTCCCTTATTTTCGCCATATCAGTAGAACGCAGAATGGTACAAAATTATTTCATCCTGACGCCGTATATGAAATTAACTTTATAGAAGTACCTACCTAGGTAGCGCCTGGGCTGCCTGCCCTCCATTTGTCTGATTCCAGTCCTGTCGTCACTCATTAGTGTACATCAACCGTTATATGGTTAATATTATGTTTAACACGTGATAATACCGTCTATGGGCATCGCCGTCCACCGCCAGTTCGAACTATGCCGTCCGTTAATGCTTTCCCAAGCTTTTTCCGACATTCTGGGCAGTACCACTTCGCCGTCCGACTTGGAACTTCTGAGAGGCCGACACAGTCGAGATGGAACCATTCTTTGTCGCACTGAGAAAAATAAATTAAATCACGTTAGTTTTGTTTGTTTAATTAGTACTGTGTGTAAGTAAAAGCATTGGCAAAAAAAAGAGGGGATAAAACACGATTGGAAGGACGCCTAATTGTGAAGTGCAAGATACAAAACATGTTACAATCATGAAAATGGTATGAAAGTAAGGAATAAAAAAGCAGAAGCAGTACACTTAAAGAGGACATTTACGATGGCCACTCACATCATTATCCTCGCAGCAGATCATGGTACCGAAACTCACGTCTCCACAGAGACAGTATCTTGGTTCGTTCGGGTCGATTTCTTCCAGGAAGCCATCCTCATCCATCCGTATATCCTCGGTCCTGGGAGCCATGGTCTGATCCTTCCTTTTCTTCACTGGTTTGGCCTTGCGACGGCCTACACTTACGGCAGCGCCGCCATCCTGACCAGATGTTACGGGTCCTGGCGCAGGGCGCCTTGCTACGGCGACCAGCTGCGGTTGTACCGGCGGGTTGATCCGCTCCAGGTGTGGCCTTGGCCACTGCTGGGGTTGCGCTCTTCCTTCGAGGTCGATCTCGGCCAATCGATTCTCCAGAGGCTCCAGTGGCGGAACGTGGTCGAGAGCCTGCTCGAGTAGCAGGCGGTGTGGGGGTGGGAAGGATCCTGGCAGCCACGGAACCTGTTGTTCGACGCAATTTAGCCGGAGATAAAGCACGCGGTGACCGTTTCGAGATAGCGGATGGGCCAACAAAAGGAGAAGTTCGAGGGCCTATACCCATCGATGCACTTTCCACTAAAAATTCATCTCCAGCTGTGTTCACGGCACTTGTAGAAGCAGACTTGCTAAGCTTGCGCTTTTTAGTTGATGGCCTGACTGTGGCTAAGGAGATAGGAGCGGGAGATTCAACATCTTGTGATGATTCTAAAACGGCCGTCTCCTCAAATTTTCTCTTCTTCATGGTCTGCTTTGATACCTTTGGCCTAGCTTTCACTGCAGGACCGTTAGCTTTGAAAGATGTACCTAAAAGTCCAGATTGAACGTTATTGTAAAGATTCTGCTCAGCAGGGCTTGGAAACAAGCTTTTAAATGTAGACCCGATGTCCCCGAGTCGTCTCGCCGCCATCTCCGCTTCGGCCGCAGCGAGAGCTGCCTGTTCCCGTGCAAGGTTTTCGCGTTTCAGCTTCTTCGCCTCGTTAAGTTTCATACCTCGGTTACTTAGTTTGGTTTCTTCCACCCGCGAAACATCCGCGTTTACTTCGCTTTTTCGGACAAGTTTTCCTGGAACATAATTGTTCGTTATGTCGTCGCAGTCTACAAACTCAGCGCCGGTTGCTTCAGCGTTCAGCTTGGCTGCTCTGTAGCCTTCCCATCCTCGACCACGCAGCGCAAGTTCTCGGTGGATCATAATTTCACTAGGTTGCCAAATATTGTTCTTCTTCATCTTCTTTCGAAGCTTGGTCATTTCCCATTCAGTCAAACGGAGCCATGGGAAATGTTCGCTCCCGATTTTTGCATCGTCCGGGGGAGGTTTTAGCATTGCCAAAGCATTGCTAGTAGAGGTATCGATTTGACTTATCTCCGCATTCCCACTAGAATCCGACGGCTGAGAGATGTGACGGCTGATCACACGTTTCTGCTTTTTCGACTTTCCTTTGTTCTTGGATGTGTCGAGCGACCGGGCGGCTTCGGCAGCATGCGACGAGCTGGGCCCAAGATCATCGTCTGATTGCTCCGTGCTGGCAATAGGTGAGTCCGGATTTCGCAGAACATGGTTAGGACCTCGGGTCGCTACGCCCTGTGGCTTTCCATTTTGTGGGCGTGTTTCATTAACGGTCGAACCAGCCACAACTTGTCGGGTTCCATCGATATGCAAAGTTATCCTTTGTGTAGAGCGTGTCTCGCCAGCTTTACGGCCACTTCTTTCTCGTTTTGTTTCAAGTGATGATTCGGCTAGAGGGGGGGCAGACTCGTCGCGGGAAATTGCAGTACAAGTCTTTAGTAGTGCATTCAACTTGGATTTGATGCTCCCAAGGCGGTCAAAGTGGCGATCAACCACATCGTAGAGGCGACATGCTTCCGCGTAGGCAGACTCTCGCGCATTCATCACGCGCCCCAATTGTTCTGATATTTGTCTTCGTAGAACGACGGGGTCAGGCCGCGAATCTGCTGGCAGATTGGGTAGTTGTCCATAGATCTTTGTAAGCTCGTGTACGGAGGCTGCAGCGTCCAGGTAGGTCTCATCCAGGCCACGAATCAGGGTCAGGGAACGAACGAGGTCTGAAGGGAGGTATTCGGTATAGTCGATAAAATCGGTCACGGTAGCCTGCGCATCCGGATCGGAGGGCCCCTCCATGATGCCACGCTCATCCGAATCGTCAGATATCATGGAGATCACGAGGCGCTCGAGGGAAAAGGTGAAAAGTGTCCGCTCGGTCAAGGCTCCGTTGGAGACAATGTGATAGGAGAGTGGGGTGTCACCATCAGTGCGGTAGGGGTGATCATGCAGTCACAGGTGACGCATTGGGAAGAGGCTAGCATTAGCAATAGGTGCTCATACGAAGCGTATTTCACGGCGACAAAGTATTAGAAAGCTTCAAAAGAGAAGAGTTATACTTCAGGGGAGGAGGGGAATATCAAGCGCTGGAGGTCTGGGGAGAGAGCTCCCAGTCGTGAGGTTAGAGGTATTGATTGCTTTGCCGGATTTAGTTAGCGTGAAACATGGGAGGCAAACCGGATAAAGTGTTATTCCTAGAGTCCATCATGTGATCGAGGAGGGTCGCTACGGCGGCCGCCTGCCGCTATTGCCTGTCGCGATCTGAAGCGCACTGCTGGTAGAAGGGCCATCAACCCAGGACTGGACTGGCCGGTGAGACCATGAATTTCACATTTGGTCCTATTTGGTCTGATCTCATACATTTCTTGGCATGAGTCCCATCAGAATCAAGTATTAAAAAAACCTGAAAATGAATCATTTCTTTTAGAAATAATGTGTGGCGGGCTGCGCCCGATCATTCATATAGACCATTCCATTACACTCCACAGATTCCTACCGCTCCGATTCTCGGCCATTCTCGATCGCCGATCCTCGGCCGCCAGGAACGCGTATAGATTCTTCCGCCCTGAAGCTCCACTGTGTACACCACCACAATAACACATATAAATATCCACTTCAATCACTGATTCTTGCACTTTCTCTTTCTTTTCTTTCTTTAACATTTTTCTCTTTGTTATATAAGTTCTATTTATTATACTGATCTATTCAGCATAGGCCTCTTATACTAGAAAAATATTTATTATCTTCTTATTAGAAATGATTATTCACACATTATCTTCTTATTAGAAATGATTATTTATCAGGAGATATTCAAACACATAATAATATATAAGAAAGAGAAACAGTTAAGCAGATACTGAGTTCTTAGATAGAATCCTTGTTTATAAGTTATTATTATTATTATTATTCTTCAATTATAGATGTATACAGTCAGAGACTATAATATCTATCTAAGAATCTTTAGTTCTCAGAGTTTTTTTTATATCTATAGAGTCAACTATTATACATTTATCAATTTCAGATATATAAAATCAGAAAATTTCAGCTCAGAATATAAAAACTGTTTATAAATTACAGTATTTTAAAATCTTCTGATACTTTGAAATCATTTGAAAATATTATAACAAAGGAAAAGAGAACATAGTCTTAAAGATAGTCATATTAAATAGATAGATAGAAAAGAACTGAAAGAAATAAGTATAGTAAAGAGAGACTATAATAAAATAAAATTATTAAAAGATAGTATATAGCTATTTTAACAGACTATTATTTAATTAATTTCTATCTCTTTATATTCAGATACTTCTGAATTTAGTCATTTTCTTATAGCTGCTGAAGTTTCTGATAGAAAGTCTATTAAGTATTTAATTTCTGTCTCAGTTGAGAATAAGAATTTTATATTTAATTAATTTAAATCATACTTCTTCATTAATCTGACTCTGAGACTATTATATAATACATAATATGTTATAATATACTCAGAATTTTCATTTACATTGCAGAATAAGTACTCTGTTGAATTAAATGTATCATCAAATCTTTGTATATAGAATTTGAAATAATTATATTCTAGTTTCAGCTGAATTATACATGAGAATATTTTCTTTTTACATTTAATTAAACAATATTTTCACTTTGATTTTATCTTAAATCTTGAATTCTGTATGCTCTTCTTTTGTTTCTGTCAGCTTTTATTTTACTTATTTAAATAAGATTCTTTTATCTTTCTCTTTATGAAAGATTAGAACACTGTTTTTTAAATAGATCTGCTTAATTCTGAACTCTTTTTTACAGCTGAATCAGTCAATTCATTGTTATGAATATTCATATAAGCAGGAATTCAATGCAGATAAATTATCAGTTTTGATATTCTTCTCTTTTAAATTCTCAAAACAGAGTTTAAAATCAGTTCAAGATTTATTTGATCATTATAAATCTAACTATTACTAAGTCTTTTTAAAGCAGCTTGACTATTAAAGAATATTCATATCTCTTTCAAACTATTTTCTCTTTTATAAGATTTTATTTCAATGAGTTTGAAAGCTTTCACTATTATAAATAGTTCAGTATCAAAGACTTCAGATTCACAGTCTAAATTTCAGAAATCTGAGATAAAATTGATATTATCTTTAGTATAAGCAATGGCTGTGTCTAATCTATTTAAATTCTTATTTTTTGAGTTATCTGAGTAAATCAGAATAGAGTCTTTTATATTGATTTGTAAGAAATCCCGCTTCTTGCGGATTCTTTACCTCTATTTCTATCTCTCACATAATCAATAGAGCTAGCAGCCCTTGACTACACACAACTATATAGACTGAAGTTCACAAATACTATTTATAACTCAGCTTGAATGCTATTATATATTTAATCTCTATATTTTATCTTTCTATTACAAATACTTCTAGTAGTTAACAGTACATATCACATCAAGCTGCAAATATCTGAATAATCACCTGTGAGCATATATTCTTACATTTCAAGCTCAGTCAGTCAGCAACTGTCTGTTATAACTGAAAGAACTAGAAACTTACAGGCTTTAATCTCTGCAAACTCTACTGCAGACACTCAGAAGCAGTAAACTGAATTATAAATAGCTCTTATAAAAGAAGTCTCAGAGAACTTATTAATCACTCACAGAATATCATTCTCTGTATCTGTAATAGAGAAACTCTTCAAACTCATAAATAAATTAATCTCAGTGAAGAACATTTTTAAGTATCTCTCACAGAATCAAGCTATTTTTCTACAAGAAATACTTACTATCTGTAAATACTCTTAAATCAAGTTTCTAGACATGATCTTCAGAGATATCTGTGAACTGAAAAGAAACTTTCTTAAGTTATAATCACTTAAGATCACTTATCAAATCACAACTTATAAAAGCTTTTACAAGTTTATATTTAAAATTAACTCACAAGCTCAGCTATGTAATATAAAAGATGAAGAAGCTGTTATCTATATAATAACAGATCTCTATTACACTGAAGTCAAGAACTGATTAAATTATCTAGAGAATAATTATAAGAGATTCTACTGATCTGTTCTCAGAATCTATCTAGAGAATAAGTTAAGAGACTTTATAAGCTGAACAGAGAACATCTGAACTATAATCATTAATATTAGAAAAAGAGATAAGAAATCTGATAAAGACTACTCACAGCACTTTATAAAATTATAATATAAATTAAGATCTGTGAAAACAGAGCTCTGAAACAAGATCTGAATAATAATATTTATAAAGAGACTGAATAAAGATATATAGAATAAGCTCATTAAGTAAGACTCTAAGTTCTTGACTCTGAAGAAACTAATGACTCTTATTTATTACTTATAGATCACTGTAAGAGTCACAGATCTGTAGAGAGTAAATTATTAATCAGCTTTGCAAGAGTCAGAATAACAGAGAATAGATTTATTAGAAAAAGATGATAAGATATAGAGAGATTCATATCTGACTGCTGAGCAGAGAGAGAAAGTTTTATAAGCTTCTGTAAACAGAGTATATAATAGAAAGATTAAGAAAAAGAGACTCTGCTTTATCTATTCTAAATCAGAACATCTTCATACAGACTGTTCAGATAAATCAAAATAGAAATTTAAGAAGTTATAGACAGAGTCAGTAACAGCCTTTTTAAGAATCTTAAAGCTGATACCTGAATCTGTTACTCTTTCAATGAAAATACTTGCTTATAGAGAGAGACTGTACTGCAGCACTACTATCTTACAAGTATGAAAAGTATTAATAAACTCAGAATCTCAGATCACTGTAGTGTCTCTAAAGCTTATGAAGTAAATAAGCTAAAAGATGAAAACTGAGAATCTGCTCTTATAATAAGCAGAGTGTGAGAACTCAGATCTAAGAGCTGAGAGACTTATAAAAGTTATCTTTGAATTACAAGATTACTCTGAAATCTGAAGAAGATTTGCAGAAACTGTGATTATCACAGACATCACAGATAACATGTACTTAAGACTTGTATAACTTCAAAGACATAATTCACACATAGCTGTTCATGAGTCAGATTTATACTTTCAATCAATGTTAACAGACTTATTTACAGAGATAGAATTAATTAATACTGTAGAGTTAATTAGAGAAGATAAGCTCATCTATATAATGACTTTACAAGTGTCTGAGAATCTTACAGTTATGAAAACTGAGCTTCAGATATTAAAGAAATACTGAGATCTTGCAGAGATATTCAGCTTAGTAAAGACAGCTGAGCTTTCTTCTTATTATAAGAAGAATCTGATAATAGATTTAATAGAAGAATAGAAACTCTTCTGAGAATCAATTTTTAAGCTCTTATATTATAAGACAGAGGTCTTGTGAATCTATATAAAGAAGAATTTAAAGAATGATTTTATCTGATCTTCACAGGTCTTCACAGAAGCCTCTGTGATATTTATAAAGAAGAAGAATAAAGATCTCAGATTATGTATAGACTACTGTAATCTGAACTCTAAGATAATAAAGAGTCACTACTCTCTATCTCTAATTAAGAATGTAATTAACTGTCTTACAGAAGCTGTTATATTTATATAACTGAATGTGATTAATATATATACACAGCTGTAAATACAGTCTGAGAATGAATAAAAGACTGTCTGTAGAACTGTAGTGAGATTATTTGAATATCTAGTAATATCTTTTAATCTGACTAATACTTCTGCAGCATTTCAGTCTTTTATTAATAAAATATTTCATATATATCTGAATATCTTTATAATAATATATCTAAATAATGTGATAGTGTACTTTACAAAGAAGACAGAACACACTAAGCATGTACAAAGTATATTAAAGATCTTAGATAAGACAGAACTGTATATTAAGTTTATAAAGTATAACTTCAGTATCTATCAGATTAATTTTCTAGAATATATAATTATCACAGATAATATTTAGATGAAATCTTTATAAATTAAGACTATTCTATTATAATTGAAGTTAACTAGTATTTATAAGATTCAGATCTTTCTGAGCTTTGTGAATTTCTATAGACAGTTTATCTTTATATTTATAAGAATCTTCTTAACTCTTACAGATATACTGAAGAGTTAAAATAAGAAGAAGTCATTCTGTGAATAGAGAATAAAAAGATTACTAAGAAGAGAGAACTATAAGAACTTTCTTATCTCAGAAGCTCACAGAGTTTTTGTAAGATTGAAACAGACATTTATAAATACAGTAATACTGTTTCACTTTAATCTCTTACTCTTAATCAGATTGAAGACAGATATCTTCTTCTTTTTAATTTTCAAAATAGTCTTATAACTACAGTTAAATGAGAACTGAGTTTCAGTGATCATTTTCTTATGAAAGATATAATTCACAGAGATCAACTATAATATTTATAATCAGAAGCTTCTTATAATAGTGAAATTCTTTCATTACTGATATCACTATTTTAAG